GGTGCACAGGGTTCGTAGTTTACATACGCGGAGTTTGAGCAGGAAGTTAGCAGTCGCGCGCTGTTATCAGGGCTGCTATAATGCAGCCAGCATAAAAACCGGTTCGTAGTTTACATACGCGGAGTTTGAGCAGGAAGTTAGCAGTCGCACGCTGTTAGCAGAAAGTGGATTCTAAATTCATGGTGTAAAGCAATGTCTTATAGCAGGTGTAAGGCACACCAGCTAAATTATAAGCAAAATAATCAATGCATAGCTTTTTGAAAAGCTCGAACTTCACTTCTGCTAGATTTGATAAAATTCTTCTCACCTATAGCTTAATTTGTATATAAAATTACAGCCACGAAAAAGTTGTGACGCCTGTTATCTGGCAGAAATTCTCATTTCCAAGAATTCAAAAGTATTTCCAATGGTGTTCTGAGTGAAACTGAATTATCGCTGAGAAGTAGAACGCCACTGTTCCCATCAGCAACGTCTCTCGCCTGCTTCGGCTACTCGGCTGTTTCCACTCACTTCTGCATTCGAGGAGGTAGCTGCATGATGCTCACTCTTGCAGTCTTTGCAGTTTACATTAGCACGAGTCTTCCCATTAGCGCAAACTACGTGTACGTATTCATGATCGCCTTCCACGTGGCTTTGATCTCTTCCTTTGGCGTTGACCACAGACGCTTTAGCTGCGGCCATCCCGTTTTGCCCGTGGTCAGCAGGTATTGGTTTCCCGGGTCAACCTGTGTGTACGTGTACTCACTCATGACCAACGCCTGCGTGTACCTACTCGCCACACACACCTGCATGAGCAAATCATGAATATTATTAACGGCTTACAATAGTATTATTGCTTAATTGGTGTAAATGCAACACATCACTCGAAATATTTACTCGTAATGACAACGTTCCAGCAAAGCACAAATAAGGGGAAAAATAAACTAACTAAAAACTAATTAAAAAGAAACTCTAAGTATCCGCGTAACTGTGTATACTCAACAAAAGGTCTGCGCTTTTACCTTTAACAAGTCAAACTCTAAATCCGACAATGGCTTCACGCTGAAATATCCAGCTATCACGTGACCTCCGACCTCGATTAGACCTATTCCCCCGTTTTTAAGCATCACGTGAGCTATCAGAACTGCCAACTGTATAAAATACAAATACGTTGTCATTAAATATACAACGAATCTGAGGCAGATGTGCGCGTGATAAATTAATCGAACGGATTATGTTCGATGACACTCACTATTTCAGGGCAGAGATGCCTTATGCGGAGATGGCCGGTCATGCGTTTTGTAGCATAATGTAAAGCGGTATGAATTTAATAATAATGTCCGCAAGATATTAAACAGTTAGGTATCATTAATATTGCGGTAGAAAAAAGCTTTAGTTGCGCAAAAAAAGGTACAATTAACCTAGAATGGCGATCTGGTCTTTAAAAATTATTAGTATTTAAGTAATTAAAATGCCGACCACTGGTAAAAGTCAGTGGGATGAAACGAGTTGGCTGGCAAACCTCAAATACGTAGTATGATCTGTGACTGTCACCAAAGTCAATAAACCCAGCTACTTGGTATTCTGGCTGAGCATGATCCACCGTGCCTGGCTTAGGCCTAACGATGATATTCTGCTCATTGAAGTCTCCATGCAGCAGACCTGTTTAATAACAAAAAATTTTTTTTTTTAAATTGTATGAATGACAAATAGTAATTATCATCGCAGATTCTTGATCAGGGGCGTAGCTAACTCATTTTGCCGGGTGGAAGGGGCAAAGCCATGGGTGGTTTGTTGTTTGGGCGGTCGACCGTGGTTTGGCAGTTCGCCATTGACTATTGACCATGTAATAGCATCTACATTGATGCATCTAGCATTTTGCTGGGGAGGGGTCCGTAGCTTTCACCAGATTCTCAATTGGTCCATTACTCAAGAAAGGGTAAGAACCACTGATCTACGGGTAGAGACAACTTCTCCCTTGCCCTCCCCCACGTTAGTCACAGCCCTGTATGCATGTATATGAGATTGAGGCCAACGGTCACCCTTACTGTATTTCGGAAGTGGTACATCATGGCGTTTATCTATCCATGGTAAATGCACCTGGGGGGCAATGCTGATAGCTACTAGCATTTCTGCTCGGTGGGACAGCACACAGGAAGCTAGGCTATATAACTAGGCTTGTCTGACACTAATATACATATATATAATAATATATATATAATATATATATATATATTTACGTGCTTGGGTAATACGGGACGAATGTGTTTATAGCTAACACCGACACCTCTGCATATTGGGGTAACACGGTACCACTAGTTAAACACGCGTTTAGCTAGCACAGACCTCTCTATTATGTTGGGGTAGCACAGTACCATGAGTTACACACATGTTTAGCTAGCACAGACCCATAGACCTCTCTGAATGTGGGGGTAGCACGGGCCAACGAGTTAAACATATATGTTTATAGCTAGCACAGACCTCTCTGTATATTAAGGTAATGTAGGGTAACACCGTAACATTGGACGTGTTTATAGCTAGCACATACCTCTCTGCATGTTGGGGTAGCACGGGACCACGGTCTGCGTGAAGGTATCGATGACCTCTGTGGCCAGCTCTCTGCACTCGTCGTCTCGTACGGCAAATGTGAAGTCTACAAGCCTAGGCGTGCTCTGTAGACTCCAGATCAGGTNGCCCTGTTCTAGGGCCGTGAGAACAGGCCGTCCCTTCTAAATATGTCGTACGCCATCTGTCGCACGTCCCTGAACGGTGATATTTGTCACGTTCCTACGGTACGACATTTCTGCATTACATTTCACCCTGCCCCAAAAATTTAATCCAGTCTCCTGACTGGAGAAAGTTACTTTTAAGAAAAAATTACCGAGAAAAGAAAAGCTTGCTGTGCTATCGTGATAGGTTTTGCTTGTAATTGTAACCGTTTAAGTGTATAATCTTACCCTAGTGTTTCTTGTAACCGCCACCGCGTAACATGCCAACTAATAACATACAATTCAAATACAATTCGACTTAATTGGATTCTAATACAATTCAAATAACATTCAACTCGATTCGATTCAATAAAAAAATAATGCCAAATACAATTTTAACTAAATTTAATGAAACGACAATATAATCCAAATACCCGTATATAATACCCCCCCCCGTAATACTCGTGTGTCGTCCCGTCACCAATCGCGTAATATACTGTACATTAAAATTTTAAAATTTACTATTATATTCGTACGTCAAACCGTCACCACTCGCATCATATACTGTTCATTAAAATTATAAAATTTACGATGATATTCGTACGTCAAACCGTCACCACTCGCATCATATACTGTTCATTAAAATTATAAAAATGGGTGTTTAAAATGTAAAAGTACAAACGTTACAATTCGCGTCCGAAATGTTATCGTTTGCGGATGTTATTTCAACCGCGCGTATCAAAACTACTAAATGCATAAAACGAAAAATTCGCGGAAAAGGTTGTAAACTGTATGTAAAGGTTATACTTCCGTACACAATAATAACATGAGAACCATATGAGAAAATGATAGTGAGAGAAATTTTAGAAAAATAGTTCAACCGGAAATGGAAACGTACCCGTTTGTTTATTTCAGTACTACTGCCAGAACCCGTTAGTCTGCGGGGAAAAGGGAAAAAAAGGAGCAGTTTGCCCTTACCTACTTAATAACCCAGCCTAATGGCGAAGCCATGCAAACCAGCGACCAACAAACCAACTTAGTAGCCATCCAAGTAGGCCCCCCGCAACCCGACGTCGTTTGCGTTCGACCTCGGCGAAGGGGTCCCCATGGGGTGGCGGCCGTGGAGTCGGTTGTGGCAACGGTGACAACTATACCAGAGTACACTGCAGCATGCGTTGGTGCAATACCTCGAGACGCCGCACGTTTTCTGGGTCGTTGTATTTGTCGTCTGGGTCGTATGCCCTGAGGTGGATATAGTAAGTCTCTATCAAAGACTCCCCCCGTGAATTTGAAAATGGGTCAAATCCCTCAGGCATGTAATCAGATACCTCTCTATCAAATAGCTCTGCTCGTCTTGAAATAAAAATACCTCTTTTTCTCACTTCAGAGAAATTAATGCCTGGTAGGCGGTGAAACATACCTACATACATACATACATTCGTACATTCAGATAGGCTGTGAAACATACCTACATACATACATACATACATTCGTACATTCAGATAGGCTGTGAAACCTACCTACATACATACATTCATTCAGATAGGCTGTGAAACAACTGTGTCGGCTTTCATTATTATTAATTTGTTTCAACATAACAACAACAAACACTTTTGGGAATAAACAGGTAGATGGTGGATGGGCGGGTGGGTGGGTGGGCGGGTGAATGGGTTGGCGGGTAGGTGTTTTGGGCCCTGAAGGGGGTACATTCCCAGTGGACCTCACACTGTAATGAGAGTAGCAATTTATCTCTAACATGGGTGACATTTTAAACCCCTGTATATAAAAATAAACTAGCCACGTAGGTGCCCTCAACGGTTAGAATTGAATGGCTTGCCGAGTTGATCTCGCTGTTTCTACACTATAGCCCCGGGCCCTGCTGACCTCGTTACAGTACCGTTGTTTCGAAATGCTATCGCTGTCGTGCCACTTTTACTTTCGTTGACCATTCACAGCGATTCCAGGGGAGTACCATGTCCCCTCTCTTATATCGAAACTGGTGCGTCTAACTAGCACCTCGACTCGTTCTCTTACGACTATATGCGTTGAGTCATCATGGCTTTTATATCAGCCAACCTTGCCTTCTACGGCAAGTAAATGCGTATACACCTGGCGCATTCTTAAAGTTCTACACCGACTGGTACTATTCTACGTATTTACGTAAGAATTCGGGCATTGTACGACACAGTTTATGAAACTCGTTAAGCCAGGGGGTGGTGGTGGGGTGGTGGTCCGAAGTTATAGGTAGGAAAAGTGCTTTAATTAGTATTTCGCTAACACTCTTGTGTATTATAAAACATGTGGTTTAAAAACTATTTTCCAGTTTAATTACGAAAATTGAGAATAGCCGCCGACACTAAATTGCTTCACTCACCCGCAATACGTATTGCAATGTCGTTCATCCATTGCGCTCTTTCTTGCTTGGTCTCCAGCGGTAGACACCTTATGCAGCTGATATCTCGGGTGCTGTGTCGGCTGCTGTTCCTTGCTTTGTCGTGAATGTATTGCGCTGTTCCTCGATCGTGTCGTCGTGATCGTATTCTGCTCTTCTTCGATCGCATCGTCGATATCCAGGTCGTACAAGATAAGTTCTGGCCTATATGCGTCTTAGCGGCAACATAATTGTTCGTAGGCATTTCCATACACAATGCTCGTCTGGCGTATAGGGGTTACAGGGACGGCTGGGGCCGAACGATTCATTGTTTGGAGTTCGATGTCTCCTTGACCAGTTCTCGGACTGTCATAAAACTCGCTTACTGAGTGCCCGTTCGACGCCTTCGGCCCTGTTCTAGGGCCGTGAGAACAGGCCGTCCCTTCTAAATATGTCGTACGCCATCTGTCGCACGTCCCTGAACGGTGATATTTGTCACGTTCC